ACTCTGTGAGGATGCTTATTTTATCAATCTGACCTCCTGAGAGCACCTTCCATTCCTGATTAATGACTGTTTGATTTTTACCCCATAATCCTTTGCAAAGCACTTCCACCAGCAACTGAAGAAAAATTAATAAGTGCCAGACCTAGTGTTCTCACATGGGTCTTCATTACGTCTACTTGACCTATATTTTTTTAAGTGGAAGCAAATCATCAAGGCTGCTCCTTCCTTCGGTCCTTTTAAATTGATTACATTTACAATATACAAACTGTGGTAGCAGAGCAGAAAGCCTGAAACATAGGGTTGTAGTCACCCATTCACATTTCCAGATGGAATAACACAATAATGAATGCTTGTATATTGTTATAAAACTAGCGTTACCCATCCCGTTGTGTTGGTAGATGTACACACGTTCTCCTCCCTCCCTGCTGTACCCAAAGGCGGGGAGGCTTGGGCTGGCTCGAGCCACGTGGCTGCTTCCCTTACCCCTGCTCCAGGGTTGGGGAGACTGGAGCCACATGGCCTCCTCCCTCCCCACTGCTCCCAGGGGCGTGGAAGGGGGGTTGGGACTGTGAGTCTTCTTCCCTCCCCTGCTCATGGGATGCTGGGGCACGCACACGTGCTCTTCCCCTCCAGGGGAGAGGGGCCCGCATGTGCACTGTCAGCATGCTGCTCCTCCTCCTCCCCTCCCTGTGATGAGGGTGGGGACTCAGCGGAGGGGTGGGGCTGCGGACCTGCCTCCCCATAGAAATTTCTGAAGACTCTCCTTCTATAATAGTATAGACAACAACAGGGAACACTCATGTCGCAGGTCATGGGCTGCCTGCATACATTAGTCAGTTACCAAGTTGCAGTCAGGGAACAAATAGGAGGGTCAAGCGCAAGCCAGGTCAGGATATCACAAAGTCAGGCCCAGGAACAATTTGCGGGCAGAAGGGAAGTAGCAAAGTCAGCATCAAACTAGCTCAGGATACCAGGAAGTTAAAGACAGCAGGCAAGTAGCAGAGTCAGGAGTGAGCCAGGGTCAGAAGCCAGAGTCTAGGGTCCACAACAAGACAAGGATTAGAGCAGTGTCCCCCCTCTAAGATTCTCCATCCATGAGCAGAGTGAGTTTTGTCTTGTGCACCACTATTGGGTGCTGTGTTTGTTCGGATGTGTGCCACTGTGGCACCCAAGTTACAAACCTCTTCCTTTCCCCCCATCTGCCATGTCTCCTACCCTCCCCTTGCCCCATCTGCTCCCCTGTGCCTGCTGCTGCCCCTCCCCCACCTCTGCTATACTGGCCCCTGCCCTTCTCACTTCCCTCAGCCCTTCTGGGAACTGCCCCTCTCCCCATCCTCTCTGACCCCTGAACCCGCCCTTCCCTTTCCCCCTGTGTCCACCCCTCCTCTAGCTCCCCTTCCCATCCCCTCTCCCAACACCTCCCTCTACCCACTTGCCCTGCCTATCTCC